CAAATAGGGAAATAATGTTTCGACCCGATCCGAACCCAGTGGTGTCAACCTCCTATATTTGACAATGGAAAAAGAAAAAAAAAAAAGAAATACTAAATAAATCCAGCTTTGAAATCTTGTCACACGCCAAAACAACTCAATCATGTGATTCATAGATGTATTTACACACAAGTATGTATCACATCTTGGGTTTCATTTTAAAACATTGACCTAATTAAGTAATGATCAGAATCTTTATAGTTAATTATTTTATTTTATTTTATTTATAAAAATTATCCCTTTATAATATTTTAGTGAAAATAGGACTTTTTCCATTATTCTTTATAATTTGGAGATCTTTTGGGCTCATTGTTTGGGATTGTTATATTTATAGAATATTCAACTGCTTTGAATATTAGAATATTTATAACGTAAATTGACTAAAAAAAATGTTTATTTAAAGTAAAGAATAGTTTATTTTTGTAATTTATTTTTAATTTATGTTGCACGGAGTTACTTATTTAATGATAAAATGGTAAAATAATACTTAAAGAAAATTCTTAGAAAGGGACATATTTCCATCTCAATAATGAATGACGATTTTTCCTATAAAATAAAGGGAACAAACAATTCATTTACTTCACAATATAGCCTCTGTTTGGTACGCATTTTTTTTCATTCTCATTTTTTAATTCATTTTTAACCACATATTTTTCAATAAAATAATATTTTCCATTATATCAATAACTTTTCCTTTTTTTCAACCACATATTTTCCATCAATCTACTATTCCAGAATACATTTTTTTCAAAATAATGTGACTCAAACACACTCATAATGTATTTTTTTGAACTATATTAATGGGTCGTTTGACAGGAGATTTTGATAAAAATCGACAAATACTCAATATTATTAAATCAACACGACAAATATGTCAAAATAACATTAAGAGGCAAGTGGTAATAATAATACAAATATGTCCATTTTTCTTGCTCTCAATTATAAGGTTATGTTAGTGTGTTGAATTAATAATAGAAGTATTCGACAATGTTTTTGATCGATCGATCGATCGATCAATCGATCTCATCAAATTCAATGCGTCAAACGTCCCACTAGCAATGACAACTTTATTTAACCTAATGTTGCAAATTGTGGAAGTAGTTGCTCTTTAGGCCGTAATCCACATGGATTGGCCATCTTTGCTCAATTTGGTATAAATAGAAGTTCAATATTCAATGTATTGAAAAGTACCGATAATATTGAACCTAATGAACAGTCTGCACTAAGCCACTTCAGCGACAGACGAACGAAGCATTTTATTGTCTTAAAGCTATCAAAGGAACAATTTAGCTATTAGTAACAAATAGTTTTGTTCCTCAAAAAAGTGATAAGAAGTAAAAATAAATGTCAGAAAAGCAGGATCGCAAATCGTAGACAAGTAAGGGTGCATATAAAATCAAAGTGGGAGCCCCACTAATCAATTAATTGTTTCCACTCACTCATCATCCTCTCCTTTTCACGTGGATGCGGTGCTTACGCTTTCAAAAGCCAATAACATTCCCAAATTAAAAATTACTTGTTAAATATTCCTTCTATAAAATTCTCAAACCAACCTAATAAATCTACCAATAATTTCGTTTGTAGATTATTACATGACAAGTATGTAAGCTACACCCGAGTCGAGATAATTTAAGTCATTCTATATAGACAAATTGCATATTTTTTAATTTATTTTCTGAAACGCTTTAAGTAACTTATATATTGGAGTTCTGGATGATCTTCCTGAAAAAACTCAGTACAATCTTAAATGTGCTTTATTTTGCAATTCTATCGTGCGTCGAAGTCCTAAAGCAAGAACATTATTGGAATTTCATACGTCTTTAGTGCAGCAATTTTAAAGGTAAAAAATTAAAGCTTGACAAAACTCGCACCAAAATAATTTATTGTATGTCTACTCGTAAGTGCAATTTCTCAAAAATAAAAAATAATTACTTGTAAGTAAGTCCCCGCTAGGAAGATATAAAGAATTCCAAAGGATTAATCTCGTTTTTATTTCATGCTCTTTTTGTGTAGCTAAAAATCAAATTTAAATTTTTTTTTTTTTTTGATAAAAATCGATGAAATTTGTGATTGAAAAGTTGATAAAAGTTATGAATTCAACCCTTATTTGATGGTACTTAATTCAAAACTCTTTTTTTTTTCTATATACTCATTTACAACTGCACATTCACACAATAAAATATTTTGCACGTAAATCCAAAAAAATTTCCTACTTTTTAACTACACAGTCTACAAAAATCCACTATTCAAAATATCTTTTTTGCAAATAATGGCCATCAAATAGGGGCTTAATAAAATATATGATTAAAATTAATTATAAACTTTAATTAGATTTTTTTATCAATTTTTCAAATTAGGAACCATATAACATGGCTAGACTTTGAGTTCTTCATAGATTTGATTAAAAATAATTTTTACACGTATTACATCACATCTGCTTAACAGATGAAAAAACGTCAAAATAATTTTTTTTAATACTTACATCTTCTTACTTGCTAAGAAAAACTTATATGTCAAAATATATTGAGCGACGGCTAAGAAAACAACAAATTCGAGGCATCAAATCTGGGTTCTTAATATCTAAGTCATGACTCGAGGGACAAGTTAGTTTCTTGTACACCCAAAACGAATTTTGAAAATTTTCACTTGATTATAACTGAAAACACCCAAAACGACAAATTTGTCATTTTGAGTTTTCTTTGTAAATTTTTAACTTGTTTTTAAAAACTCGTTTTCGAAAATAGGAAAAAGAACGCATTTTCGCTGTTTTGGAAAATCGAAAATAGAAAACGATTTGAAAATAATAAAGAGAACATACCCTAATCTTTTTAACTTCTTGAAAACTCACAAATTCTTATACGA